CAAACACGTAAACCAGTAATGGATACCAAACAAGACAACACAACATCGGGTTCACAATAATTTAAAGCATAATAAATGAAACCGTGATTCATGCATACGAAACCATAGAATAAACACATCAGACACCATACTGCATTCAAAACTGTAAAATAAATCAAACAACACCTTACCGAAAATATATCAGATTCAGGTTCCATTAGCAACCTTAATCAATTATACATATCTATTAATTCATAAAATACCGTTTTATCATTTATTAAGCTTTAATGCCGTGATAGGAAATAGGGTGAGGGATCCTTACTTATTTCGGAGTCTGAAATCGGGTTCTCATTGCGCCTACGGACAGTCCCTAGATTCCCTGAATTTTTTTTCAAAAACTGAAACACACTTCCGGTACCTGTACATGTCCCCAAAAAATCTCAAATCAGACCCAGGGTCCTTTCGGCCAATTTCAGAATTTTGGCACGGCGGCTCCGTCGTGCTCCGGCGTCGGCGCCGCCGCCCGCGGCCGTGATCCGCTTCGGGTTGGCCATTTTTGGCCTTTTTCGACCGAATTCGGTCAAACTTGCATTGGTTCCTGTGATAAAACACCCCTAGGGCCCTCGGTGGGCCAAACAATTGCAGAAAATCGAGGCTTACTGGCGGCGAAGCTCTCGGGTGCGACGGCTCCTCTAGCGCGAGTTGCAGTTTGGTGTTTGCTCTGGTCAACCTGTAGAGAAAAGGACGGTGGTCACGGTGGTATAAAAATTACATCGAACGAGAACCGGAAAGGGCCTCATCGGAGGTAAAAACTGAGAAAACCCGCAGCGGTGCCGTTGGGCTTCGGTGGTGTTTTTCGGCCAATTGGCCGGTGGTTTGGCTCTGATTTGGCCACAAGGAGGTTCAGCATCGAAAAACGAGCCAAGGAGAGAAATTTTACCTCGTTTGGCGGCCGAAAAATCCTCCGGCGCGGCGGTGGCCGGTTCCTCTAGTGGCTGGGTCGTCTTCTCCGGCGAGGGTTCTGGCGGCTAGGGTTTGGGGTTGGGTGTGGATGCGATTATTTATAACTCTCCCCTTTTAATCTGAGCCGTCCATCATGATTTAATTTGGGTCGTCCGATCGCGATTAAATTAGAAATTAATCTGAGCCGTCCATCGCGATGCGATCTGGGCCGTCCGTGCGTGATCAAATCTGGACCGTTCGCACGCGTGAGATCTAGGCTGTCCGCGCGCGCCTTTGATCTGGGCCGTCCGTGCGCGCGAAAATAGATCTAGACCATCCGATCGCGCGCACACGGATCGCCCACGTGTCTCCGTCCCGAATGGCTTCCCGCGTCAGCGTCCCTGCCACGCGGCGTGTCCTGGTTGGCCGGGGCTGCTGACGTGACACTATTTTTCTAAATTACGTTTTGACCCCCGATTTTCGATTTTCTTTTCTAGAACACAATCAGAATCCAAATTTTCATCCATTTTTTCCAAAATCAATTTTAATTAAATCCCAAAAATAATTTTACCATATTTTATTATTATTTTTATTTTTATTTCTATTAAATTAAAACCTTATAAATTAAATATTAAAATAGAATAAAATTAAACTAAATTTCAATAAAAATTAAAATAAAATAAAAATAAATATAAAATAAAATAAAATAAAATTTTGAGTGTCCCAATAAATGTTTATGTCCTCCGCCATCGTCGACTTTCCAGACTGATGGGTCTTGCAATGGAGATGATGACTGCAAGATCTAATTCTTGCAATTAGGGTATTATACTGATGTATATAAACTTATTTCAAAAGCCACACCAGATGAAACTATTGGACAAATTATACTTTTCTTTTTCTAACCACTATATATAAATATATCATATATATATATATATATTTTTTTTATGTTTATTATGTATTCTGGTTTTATGTTATATTTATTCATATAGTTTTTTTACTACTGTAAAAGTGAAAGAATATTATATTACTTTATTATATAAACATGTTTTTTTTAAATTACTTAAAATTTTAAAAGTAGAATAGCAAATACACATAAAATTTAAATATATATTTTACATATATTTGCTATATTTTTTAAAATATCGATGGCTCGAATTGTAAAAATATTCAATTAATAAACAAATTATGAACGGCTTATTAATACTTAAGTTAAAGGTAATTTAAGTAGGTCAAGTTAGTCGGTTTTGTTAATTAAATGGATATTCGAGTTTAAAGTTCGATAGTAGAAAGTGAAATCAAGAGAAAAAAGAGAGAAAATAATACAATGAGCTTGAATCAATATCTAAAAATCCTTGTACTTTGTGCTAGCAACCATTCATCCCTCAACATTTATAACCCTATGAAACCTATAGATTACAACCCGAAAGTAATCGAGTTTTGTTTAGGGTATTTCGAAAGAATGTATATGTTATTTTGACTTTTATATTTATGTCTCGTAACATCAAAAGGACACATATTTATACAAGAAGAAATATAAGACCATCGAGAGGAGCAAAGGAAGAAAAATGACCACCCTCTTAGGAGCAACCACGCGCATCAACTCTTCACATCCTTCCTCTCGAATTGGCTCAAGTTTTGGAAAATTCGAGGATGACTTTTGATGATGATGAGATATAAGAAGGGATGGTGCCACATCTCCCCAATTCCGAATGTATCTCACCTCCTTTACCATTTTCTCTCGTCCTTATTTAGTTTCAAACTTGTCTATGAAGGAAAAAGAAATCGATACGGGTATAAATTTTATGCTCGAGGGAGGAGAAATAAGCTTGTCTTTGATGAAAGGTTGCCGATGAAATACAAATGGATTTTAAGAGATTCCGATATGAAAATATACCTAATATATACGTCTTTAGTTTGCTATAAATGAATCAAATGCACAATTAGACGCGAGTCCTCACCAACCCATGTGCGAAATTAAAGCATACCGCGCCTTTTTTTAGTGTTTGGTTATGTACTAATGTTTCTAAAAAATTATTCTTATTCTTTTTATATATTTATTTGAGAAAACTAGAGATAGTTAAGATTAATAAACTATAAATGCTAATTTTAGTTGTAAAAAACAAATATACCATTTGTATATTAATTG